AATATTTCTTGCTTGATCTTCTCAGGGGCCTATCGGTAGACGTCCCCAGCTTTTAGCACGGTGAGTATCTCTAACATAGAGTAGACATGATTCATATGTACATTATATGATGCTTCATATTATATGAAGTCTCCACCAGATGGAGTCTATCTGATGTCCTCTTACTTCTGCATGCTGGTCCCGTAGGCTTTATTGGGGCAAGTAGTTGCACATGCAGGAAGCTCCCGGACCTACGACGGTGAAGTCCACCAACATGTGATGGCGCCGCGAGACGCCCTACACTAAAAATACCTGCGCGCATCGGGGATATTTGCTTTCCAGCCCGGGCACATGATTGCACTTCGGGAATGGATAAGGCCAGCAGCCATCATCGTTGCCCAGTTTCTCGGGCGGTTTGTATTCACCACCTAAACGAACTGCGAATGATGCGTATCCAGAGGAGACTCGGTGCCATTCTCAATCTCACTCAACTTGAATGACCCGAGTCGGAAATTCCTACCAGTAACAAGGCCGTGATTTTTCATGAAGTTCAGGCCTTCAGGCACGGAGCCAAACATACACCCATTCGATCTGAAGATGAAGTTTATTCTATCTATCATTAAAAAAATGCATTATCATCGCCCGTGGTTCAATGCATATCTCTCACTTCGGACATCCGTTAGCACGATTGCAGCATGAAGTCAGGTAACCGAGAGATAGAATATCCGTGGTTTTACCGCCGGACTTGATGCATACACGATCGTTGAACATTCCGACGGCAGCACTTGCCCAGCAATTGTTACATTCGCCTTGTTCCCTGAGCGATGAATTTCCACTCAGGAGTTATCATAACAGCAGTAGGGAGAACTACCTCACATGGCCGATGACATCAGCACAGGAAGCAAACTTCTGCCGAGCGTCGAAGCTACTTGGTAAAGTCGTCAACACCGGGTTTGTGGGTCCGAGAAGGCGATTTTCGCCACCTTCGTCCGGAGTCGAAGAGAACATCGTATCCTTAGAGCATCCAGCAGGAAGGTCTTTGATTGACATATCTGTCGAGAAGTGACACTGATCCCTGAGTTTGAGACTCGGAGAGGTATTCACGTAAGTTCATGACGTACCCTTGAAAGGTGGCTGATCTTTCGACGCAGTCCACGACTGTTGCATCGAGTTGATCTTGTCAACCATGGATTGCAATAAAGCTGGCTTGGTGTTGTTGAAGGATTCAGTAAGGTATTCAATTGATACGTCTTCATGTAGAATCTTCTCATCGAGCTCATTTTTGAAGCGGGAAAAATGTTGTGAGTCTTCATCTGGGGTATAGACGGATCCTGGACAAAGGACAACAGCGTTGAAACGAGGAGACATGTTGAGTGTTCCTACGACTCTGTTCCTTGATCTTGTCGAATACGCCTCGGAGATTGGAGACATCACCCCGAATTTGAGACATCAGGGCGCACAGCGAGAGGAGTAGGAGGGATTTACTCATAT